GAGAATCACTTGAACCTGGGAGGAGGTTGTAGTGAGCTGAGATCACACCACTGCATTCCAGCCTGGGTGAGAGAGCGAGACTCTGTCTCAAAAAGAAAAATAAAAAAATAGACTGATCAAATTTTCACTTTTTCTCAAATTATGGCATCAATTTCAGGGACACTTTTTTATATTTATCATCTTCTAAAACTTTATAAAATTTTTTTAGTGTACAAAAGTTTAGATCTATCTACTAGACTGAAAATACCCTGCTTCCCTTTTCTCTTTTTCCTTACATTTACTTACTTTCCAGTATGATTGCTGTTAGTAATCAGTGTCATTTTCCAATTTCAGAGCTAGGATTACAGTGTTTGAAGAAGGGAGACAAGAATATCCTCCATTTTCTTTTGCCATAGAGAAGAAAAAGGTTTTACTTTTCCTCCATAGTCAGGCTCTTGGTAGGTTTCCTAGATGTGTTACCAGTATCTCAAACTTGAAATGAGATAATACACCCTAATTGCCCCATTTCAAGAATCACAGTTGTCACCAAGACACACATCCAACTAATGCAGGAAAGAAAGGACCTGGAATGATCTATATTTTTTCTGTCTTAAATTGACTTAAAATCTTATATATGAGTCTAGTAACAGATACACACATGCACATACACATTTCCATAAGTATAAAAGTTATATATATCTTTTCTTTAAATTATACAGACCTCTAGTGATAATCATTAAAGACTTAAACCTGGCATGGCAAAATTTTTCAGGTTCTGTCAACTCTGCTAATATTGCAATGCTGTGCAACATGCTGTGTTGGGAAGATTCTAGGCTATGATGGGCCAAGGTAGAAAAGAGCATCACAATCTCTTAACTATGTCAATAGGATAGTTATTGGAATAGGTAAAAAAAACCAATCTATTTGTTATCCATGACCTAATCAAATTATCTGTGCAAAAACTCCTCCTTTCTTCTTTTTAATGAAAGAATATATAAACACACATTCAATGAGCAGAATTTCATTGAACACTTCATAATTTCTAATTACGAGACAATGTATTATGTTTCAGTCATGAGTTAATAATTAAGCATTAGTAAAACTTATTAGTTCAATTAAATTGAAGGTGAGAATAAGCCAATTTAGGGAAATAAAACAGTGCCATTATTTTGAAGTAACTTACTGAGAAGGATTAGAAATAGGGAAGTTGTGTTCATGGTCCTAGGGAGCACATTCACAAACTATGGTGTAAAAGTCAACCCTAGAGTTGCACATGACACAACTCTCACAATCATATGTGGCAATCCTGGTGTCTGAAATATGAAAGAAATAAATAGTATAAAATATAATAGTGGCAATACTTGTTTACTTCTTTATGGAATATAAAGGGAAGAGGAGTGCATCAACATTATTGAAGCATATATTAGTTTAGGATTTTATATCCTGTTTGTTGTTACTCATCAAATAATTTATTTTACAATTTTAACCTGTATTTTTAAGATAAATAATCAAATATAATGAAAACTTTAATACTTCACCTCCCAAAAGTACTACAGATTTAAAATTAGCAATGTTCAGATTAAAGGTATTTTACTGATCCTTGACACTCTACTTGTTTTTAAAAGACCATAGTATGTCTGGGTGCAGTGGCTCACATCTGTAATCCCAGCACTTTGGGAGGCCGAGGTGGGTGGATCATGAGGTCAGGAGTTCAAGAACAGCCTGAATAATATGGTGAAACCCCATCTCTACTAAAAATACAAAAATTAGCCGAGCATGGTGGCACATGCCTGTGATCTCAGCTACTTGGGAGGCTGAGGCAGGAGAATCGCTTGAACCCAGGAGGTGGAGGTTGCAGTAAGCCGAGATCACACCATTACACTCCAGTCTGGGTGACAGAGAGAGACTCCATCTTAAAAATAAATAAATAAATAAATAAATAAATAAATGGCTACCGTGTGTGAATGGAGACCAACAGGCTGGAAATTGTCCCCAAGGCAATAATAATTCTTCTGTCTTCAACAATCTACTTAAAATGTTGAAACTGGGTTGTTTACCAACATCGTAAGGCATGCAGACAGCTCACAAGGAGTTCTATGTTCTAAAGTTGGTTATCTTGGACAATTACAACTCCTGGACATACAGCAGGTTGAGTAAATTCTGGATAACATTTAAGAAGTAGAAGGTGGTAAAAAGTCCTACCATGGAAAATTACTCCCTTTCGTAGAAGAACAAGATGTCAGTGGAATTCCAGTCTTGCCCTATATTAGCCTTCTTTGTTGTTCTAGCATGCCTCTTACTGCTTAGAATTCTTCATCTACAATGTTTATAAGTGTTAATGTATAGACATGTTAGCATTTCTGTAGGCTTTAATACCAAATATCAAAAGAAACTTAGATCACCAAGTGATTTCATAGAATAAAAAACACTGGCAGTTCATTTTTGCCCCTGGCGGTTCTCCCATTCCTTGCTTTCTGCTGACGCAAGCAAGGCAAATGGGATAAATTTATGACTTTCATTGATGGGAAAATATACTAATAAAACATTGAGAGACATATCAGAATAGCCCTCATGACATTTATATTCTAGCATAGAAACCAACAATAAGCAAGGTAGACACACACACACACACACACACACACTCACACACATAAAATATCTGAAGGTGATAGGAGCTATGAGGAAAATAAATAAGTGAAAAAGGCTAGGGTATAATGGAACAATGAATTATAATGTTAAATACAGTGGTTAGTGATACTATGTACAAAATATAGTAAGACTGTATGATAGAAGGTAAAGGGGGCAGCTACTTTAGATTGTGTGGTTGGGGAAGAGTTTTCTGCAAAGCTAACATTAAAGCTGACAGCTGGATGCTAAGGAAACAGCCATGTCAACACTTTGGAGAAAAATCTTCACAGGTGCTTAATGAACAGTGAGCCTGGATTGTTGAATGAACAAAAGCCAGCATGTCTGAAGTGCAATGATAAGAAGTTAGATTTACAAGATTAAATCATAGAGGTAGGTATGGCCATGTCACACCAGTCATGGTAATATTTTCATTCTTCAACTGTGTCTGTATATATGGTGCATCTTGATTGTGGGGTATTAGCCCCCAAATTTTACCTGGATAGCTATTTTATCCCCTGCATCACTCCTTATGCCTTTAGTCAGCCATTCCATCATTCCATCAGTCAAACTATCAAATAAATATTTATTGTGCTAGGCATGATGCTAAGATGGGGATATAGTGTTGGCCAAAAGAGATATTACCAGCCAGCCCTATCCTCATACAGTATATATTTCAGAGGAGGGTACATAAATGAAATAATTACAAGAATCATTATGTCTAGGAAATGAGCAAGTGAGATGTATTACTGACATTTCTAATAAAGGAGTATTAACTTAGCCTACAGAGTAAGCCATATATATATATATATATATATGGCATGTGTATATACATATCAATTAATGACTATGCAGAAAATCATCCCTAGATATTTCTATTATATTTTCCATAATATATTTAAACCATACATTAATATTCTGCTTTATAATTTTCTAAGTCCTTTCATATGCATTACCCCATTTAATATTCACCATAACTGTGATAGAGGCTGGTCAATGATAACTATCTTCACTTTAAAGATGAATAAACTGAAACCTTGAGAATTTAAGTGACTTGAAGTGTGTTAGTAATGTACAGTCCTAGTCTCATTTCTGTACTATATATGTTATCAGAGGTATGGTCTGAACTAAATACAGTAAAATTCCTTACACAATACAGCACTAGGCATTTAGTTTGGAGGCAAAAGGAAAAGAAAACATAGCATCCTCATTCTTAACAAATATGAGATCTAGTTAGGGAGATGTTCAGATGAGCACCAGATAATAAATTGTGCAGAAATTCAGTGTGCATATGAAGTTAAGGAATAATCAGAACAGTCTGCAATTATTCTATAACCTTGTCTTGAGAGAAATTAATTTTTAAACTGGACATACAATTAGATTATGTGACTAGATCTTGATACTTTTAAATTCTTGAAATTCTCTGGTTTTATTTTTCTTTTCCCATTCTTAAAATCACTGCCAATCAATGAACCTTACCCACCATTTCCTCTTAGTTTATTGCTTATTTAGAAATCTACAGTTTCTTCATTGTGTAGATCTATCTTAGCTGCGTGCTTTCTCTGTTGAAGACTCTGCCAGACACTCCAGAAAAGTTTACTCAGCATTCTCTTCTAATTATCTTATTCCCAGCTCTAAGCTTGATGCCAAGATTTCTATTTGAACGACTTCTTCCTAGAATGCTAAATTGTCAACCTTTAGGAAAGCTTCATTCATTTAACCTTCCTCTATTTCTTAAAAAATCAGTAGAGAATTCTACTCAGTATGTAACCCTGAATTTGTTGCCCTACTAAATAAACATTCTCTGTTGCTGTCACATAGTAGAGTGATTTTATTTTTCCAATTTTTGCTTAAAGTCAACAAATGTCTGGCTTTACTAATATTGATTATTTTATATTATGTTTTATTATGAGCCAACAACTGGCATACCATCACATGAAAATACATTTGATATGTTTAAATGATATCATTATCTTATTTCAAATTATTACATATCTGATCTCTTTCCCTTTCCACTATACCAGGAAATAATTTCCCTATTAATTGTAAATTGCCAACGATAACTTTTCAAGTGATTAAGATGCAATAAAAAAGTCTACAACTTCAATTATACATTTATGTTTATAAACATGTCTTTTTCTTCATGACTATGAACTGGTGCCTGGCATGACACCAGCATGACAAATATTGCTGTTAAGCCATCACTATATGACAACATGCCAGGTCCTGTGTTAAATGGTTTTGGTATCTTATTTTATTTTAGCTTTGCATCGACCTATGGATAGATCATTGGTTTGCAATATGAATTTCCTTTTAAAAAGTCAGTGAAGATCAAAGGTGCATTTTAAAATAGAAGCTGATAAGAAACATCATTGTAAAAAATGAAAGACACTTACAGGAACCAGGAATTTTTTAATCTCTTCCAATGCATGACTCATACGTGAATAAGCTTCCCCAGGTGGAGCAAACACTTCAATTAATACATGAAGCTCATCACTCAAGTGGGCATATTTGGCTTCCCCACTCTTCCTTAGTTCTTCTTCCTGTGAAAAAGGTTATTTTTAGAAATACAAATCCACTCATTGTACATTGATTTAACATTTACTGAGAATATGACAAAGGGGCATAATTTAAGCAAATTTTCCATAAGTAGAAAGAAACCCTTTGAGAAATAAAAATCTGCTACAAGCCATTTAAACATTTTAAAATCATTTTTGAGTGTTTGAATGATTTAAAAAACTGCCATAATTATCATCTACAACAGATTTTAATCAGCTAAATGAAAATGCTAAACCCCTGAAAACAAGTCACAGAATTGCCATTAACACTGTAGTCTACATGACTACTTTCTGGAAGGAAAGAATTGTTTTGTGCTTGATGTTTAGCATTTTGCAGATAGTAAGTGAAAGATTATTACTGTGTTCTTTAAGAAAACTAGAACTTTCTAGCTACTTTTTGAGAAGTTAGGAAGGTTACTTGATTGTGATAAAAAGTAGGCTAACTATACAAGTCAAGGCTTATTTCCAAGTCTATGTTCTCACCAGCCCAGATTATCAGCAAGCCTCATACCCACAGCTTTTCTATCTCTTGCTGCCTTTATTTATTTATTTATTTATTTATTTATTTAGTCAATAGGGGAATATTAAAGGGTAGCTGTTTAACATTTTGCTGGCACTGATTTTGCATAGGCTACATAACTTCTGGTTAACCAATGATACTAGGTTGGTGCAAAAGCAATTGCCATTAATTGCTTTTAATGACATTATTTTTAATGGCAAAAACCGCAATTGCTTTTGCACCAACCTAATATATTTCTATTGGAAGAGACTTTTCCTAGTATTGTGCCCAAGTCATTATTGAAACCTGGTTAATTCAGTACAGGTGCAGCACAAATCAATATATGATACATATATTTTGTTAATGTATACTAAGTACTTTATACATTTCATCTTCAATCAAAATCATTTTGTACATATTCACGTTTCAGATTATGAAACTGCGGTTAGAAGACTTAAATAGCTTCAGCCAAATTTGGATCCGGACTCAGTTCATTTTGTAAGCAGATTTGCATTTTTTAGAATTTGAAGATATAAAAGTTGGTGGAAAAGTTTACCTAAATAACATTAATTATGTTTTATCTTTCTTACCCCTCACAGAAACAACCAGCAGTTATTTCACTAAATTTCAAAACATAAAACTAAACATGTAATTCTTGGTTTTATGTAGAGATTAGAGACATGACATGAATAGACCTTACCTGGATTTAAAAAAGAACAAATTTGCTGTTGATGTCATGTGAGTTAACTGTGTAACCCATGTTAATGTGAGTGTTTACCTGATCAGAAATGCGCATTGTTTTAAAAGATGAAGGATCCCTGAAAGACATGGAAAGGCATCCCTGCGTTCTTGTATATGTGCCCTTCACCTACTTAAATCCTTCTGATAATAGCACCTTGTAGCCTGGAAATCCACTCTTCACTTCTCTAAGGATACTTTCAAACTCTACCTAGGACTTGAGAGCTTTTCTTAGTGCCCAATTATCAGTTTGGGGAGGAGAAGCAAAACTAGACTGAATGAAAATACACTCATGAGATGTAGTAAACATTCATTTTCTCTTCGGGTCCTGCTAAGGTGCAAGCTGCTTGTTCATTCTGGGGCCAGCTGGTTTTGGCATACACGATGAAATAATTAAATCAGAGATTTCTTGACACTGTCCCTTTCTATCACTTCCTATGTTGATTCCCATGTGGTTATTTTTGTGTTACCCTCTCCTTACACCTAGAATTTCCTAGGGAACTCAAGTAATTTTCAACTGTATTAAGCAAAATAATATGGTTATTGATTGCTATTACCTAGAGTGACATGACTAGCTCATGGTGGAGCTCAACAAAATGAAGAAAACAGCAGTTATTTGACCCTACTATCCTTGGAAGACACAGTGGTGATCGTCATTTGCTACTTGGGATGACCCTTTGGAATCACATCTTCCAGAAGCAGTATGTCCAATAATTTTATAAACCCATCTTAGAAAAAGGGAAGTGGCAGGATAATAGGATCATCCTAGGGAGAAGGTCAGCAGTCAGACATATGAATAAAGATCTCCATGACATGAATAAGTTTAAGGAAAAGTGCTGTGCCTTGATATGCATATGCAAACATCTCCATAAACCTTTTTAGTGCATAAAGAGCAGCATTGCCGCTAGGCTAGCAACATCCCACCTTCAGCCCTAAGGCGGTTTTCTCCTTTCTCAGTAAACAGAACATACAATCGGGTTTTACACTGAGATGTTCCATTGCCCAGGGACAGGCAGGAGACAGATGCTTTTCTCTATCTCAACTGCCAAGAGGCCTTCTTTCCTCTTATACTAGTCTTTCTCAGCACAGACCCTTCACGGGTGTCAGGCTGGGGGATGATCAGGTCTTTCCCTTCCCACGAGGCCATATTTCAGACTATCACATGGGGAGAAACCTTGGACAATACGTAGCTTTCCTAGGCAGAGGTCCCTGCGACCTTTGGCAGTGTACGTGTCCCTGGGTACTTGAAATTAAGAGAATAGTGATGACTTTTCACAAGCATATTGCCTTCAGGCACTTGTTTAACAAAGCACACCCTGCACAGCCCAAAATCCCTTACACCTTGAGTCACCACAGCACATGTCTCTTGCAAGGGCAAGATTGGGGGTAGGGGCACAGATTAACAGCATCTCAAATACAGAACAAAATGGAGTCTCTCTACTTCTTTCTATATAGACACAGTAACAGTTTGATCTTTCTTTTCCCCACAATTTACCCTAGGTAATGTGATGAAGAAATAATTGGAAACATTGATTATATAACCATAGTTTGGACTGGAATGTCATATTTGAGAATTATGTACATCAAATCAGATATGATCAGGCAGTTTAGAGTAGAGTAACATTTTTTCTTTTTTTTTCTTTTTTTTTTTTTGTGACTAAGTCTCACTATGTTGTCCAGGCTGGTCTCAAACTTCTGGGCTCAAGTGCTCCTCTAACTTTGGCCTCCCAGATTGCTGGGATTATAGGCGTGAGCTAAGACTGACTTTATAGAGCCACTGCTTACAAAGGTCTCTTGGAAAAACTGGCCTGATACCTAGATTACAGGGTTTCTAGCCTTAAAGATAAGTAACAAAGGTCACTTCTGGGTGGGCTTAGGATACTTGGGATAGTCTGGGGACCTCGAGAAGAGAGGAATTCACAAAAATTTATAGGTACTGCAGGTGAAGTAAGGTGGTTGGTTCTTGGCTTGGTTTCACAGCATTGAGAAGACTTTTAAAAGTCCAATCTGAGATTCCTTATGTTAATAAAAAACTTCAGCAGAGGAAATTTAAAAAGATCCATGTGGTCAGTTATCATTATTGCTTCACTTAGGTTATAATCAAGCCAAATCAAATGTAATCAGGACTTGTTTTGCAAACAAGAATAATTTTCCTTTGATTACCATTGATTAAAAATCAGGTGTACTGTAAAGACAAGGTTTATGTTTCAATGGAAAACTATAAACTACTCTTACAGGTTACTAGATTCTAATCTTTATTGTTTTTTAGCTACTTGCATCTCTTTGTAAACTGGGTACTACCGTCTTCTTAATTTTGTCATCATTTAACAGTTCTACTTTTTCTACCACCCTCCTTACTTGGAATCACTGAGAATTAAAACTGCCACTTTCCCAAAATCCCGTAACGAAAGCTTTCTCACTTCACGTAAACACCAAAAGATTTATTGCTGAAAGAGTTTGGGTCACTCAAAAATTTCACCAGAACACTTGCACCTCCCATGCTGTGCTCCAGAAAATAACCATGACTACAGCTATACCACCTCTGTTCTCCTTTAAGATACTTAGAGCCTAACATCAAGAACCCTTCTCAGAGGGCTATACTATGAAGTTAAAAACTGGATTCATCCTATGCTCCAATCATTAATCTTTTTCTGTTTCCCTTTTACAGATATCATATTTTATAATTTTTAACCTGAAATTTCTCCCCAGAGCAATCAACCTAGCTATTTTTGTGAAATTTCTAGGGAAGTTTCAGATGGGAAAAATGTGGAGACCCATTTAGAGCCCCAGGGGTTCATACAAATGTTATTTTAAAGTGAAAACAGTTGAGCTAAATAAGCAGAAAAAAAAAATATGTTCTGAACATAACCTAATCTTACTAAAACAGAGATTTACCAAAGTCAGCTACCACAACCCCTAACTCTGGAGTGGTCTCCAGTCAGGGAAGAACTGATCTTAGGCACTAGGACATTCCAAAATATTGTATAAACAAGGCTTATCAGAACCGTCCATTCATTAAAACCTGAAAACACCCCTTCCCTAAAGTTTGGTATATAAACTTTATCCCTGGCTATTCAGTGAACTACTCAGTACTGAGGAACTGCCACATGCCTGTGTAAGTACATTTTGTCTTTTCCTCTGTTAATCTATTGTCTGTTAACTTGCAAGCCTCCAACCAACTGGACCCAAGTTAGAATAGGAAGTTTTTCTGCCAGCATTAAATACGCAGATTCAGTTATAATTCATTTTATGATTAAAAAAACTATGCAGTTAAAGTATGCACAACATCACATATTTTTTCTGCAATTATAAGCACAAAGACAGGCTGTATAAATAAACAAACAATAGAAGGTTGTAATCCAAAAGACTACCGTGGTGCTCATGAACAAATTAGGATAAGTAACTTTTTTGACAATAGCCTCTCCCACCTAGTCTCTCCTACGGCTTGTTACCTTACTGGATAATGGTATGGGCAGTTGCATAGGTTCCAATTAGGATATTTCAACTTTAGGAGAAACAATAGCTGTATAAATATAATGCTTACTCTTTCACCCTTAAATCAACCTTATGAATCTTTAGAGTCCAAAGAGAAAGGTCCCAAAGACTGGAAATGTTTTAGTAATGTAAGTTAGCCTCAACTGTCACAATTTTAAAGACCATTTTGTTTTTTACTTCTCTCTGTGTATTGAAACAAATATTTCAAAACTCAAATTTCAATATTTCAAATATCAACCTTTCCTGTAGAGAT